AAACCAATACCAAAAAGAAAACCCACTAAACCACCACCGAAATGAGCCGAGTGTGCCACATTGATCTTTAAAGGAATTGGCACAACTATTATGATAACAACGGGAAGTAAAACCAACAAAAATAAGTATAAGAGGATTGAATTTCGACGATCGGTATTCGTTCGCATTGCAATAATTCGATCAACTGTTAAGAATAACATTAAACCGTACACAGAACCTGAAGCTCCAATACCGGCTAAACAAAAAATGATCATAGGTGTTACGGGCTACATCCTCACATATACATCATCATCTTTTCTTTCCCTTGTTTTCTTCTATCACCTTTCTTTGTTTTCTGTTTGCACCGATTTCACCTCTATATCTTTTCTTTCATCTAGTCATTCACCACTAGATGGTGTGGGTGTGGGTGTGGGTGTGGGTGTGGGTATGGGTGGGTGTGGGTATGTGGGTGTGGGTGTGTGGGTGTGGGTGTGGGGTGGGTGTGGGTGTGGATGTGTGGGTATAAATAATAAACAGAAGGCCCATATCGATACACCTACACCCACACCCACACCCAACCCCACCCTGCATGTACATAATGTTTAACGAGTTCTTCTCTATTTTCGAAATCTGCCAAACGAAAACCTGTTTTGCTAATAATGACATTCAACGGTTCTAGAATACATTCTTTGATGTATTGATCATAAGGTATTTTTTTTATTATGCTTTATTAAGTGTAGGGTTAATGCCCGTGGGCCTATTGAAACATCATAGGTAGTGCCCCAATATGTTAGTTGAGGTGTTTAAAGGAGAGAGGCAACAGCGAAAAACGGAACACCAACAAAAAATAGAAACAGGAAAATCGACAGAAAAATAGAAAAATAAAGTAGTAGAAAAAAAAACACCATAATAAAAATTTTCTTGATAGGTACAGGGACGTGATGGTTTAGATGGAGAGTGGAAGAGTCTATGATAGCCATGCTTGACATGGTCGTCAGACCAGTTCCACTTTTATATTTGTTTCATAAAAATGAGTGCGGAAAGGAGCCGAGTAAATCTAAGGGTGTGGGTGCGGGTGTGCATGTGGGTGTTAGGGAACTGCAAAGTAGTCCCGGTCCCGGTCAGTTTTTTATGCAATATATTTTCACGTTTATTATTTTGACATGATTAAAGAATCATGGTATACAATAAACTAACGGTGTAATATCATCTCATGTACATGTTTTCGTCGTTGTTTTACTATATGTAATTTGAACTCTAGTTTTTTTTGCACTTGACTTTATTTGAGAACGAACTGCAAGGGTGTGTGGGTATGGGTGTGGGCGGGTGCCGGTGTCGGCTGTTTTCTAAGCGCCAACACCCACACCCACACTCCACTCTATATTATTTCATGCAAATAGTTCTCGGATACAATTATGAGAAAAAATGCTTGAATAGCATTGTTCTTCTAATATGGCATCCGGTTTATTTTTTTCTGCAAAGTGTAACACCATCGGCAATGCGTAGCAAACTAATATCAATACGTTCATCGTTCTTGATAAAGTTGTTTGTCTCTCTTATGGCAACTGTGATCGCACCCTTATCGTTTTGGTCTATAACGCGTCCGCTCCATAAAGTATTGTCGATCACGTGTAATCCATTAGAACGAAGCAATTGAATGGACAACTCGTAGTGACGTAAATAGTTAACTTTGTCGGCATCGAGAAAAATGAAATCAAACAATCCATCATTGTGTTCTTCAATCAATTTCTCTAGAGTTGCAATAGCGGGTCCAATCCGCAAGCTAATTTTGTCACGAACACCTGCCTTACTCCATAGATCTTGGCGTACATATTGATCATCAATGTCACATGTAATCAGTTGACCATCAGGTGGTAGAACGAGAGCAATCGTCAGTGATGTATATCCAGTAAACGTACCAATTTCAACTAAAATAGATGTAAACAAATTTTGTTTTTATTATTCTTCCGTTTGTCTCAACGGATTGCATGCGGGGAAAAAACATTACTGCATCGTTTGCAATCCATTAGCCTAACAAGGACTTGAAAGAATTGAGCTTCATCAAGTGAGCAAAGCATTCGTGAAAGGTGTGCTATTGTAAAATTGATACAGTCAACGTTATTAGCAGAAAAGAAATCAAATGATTCATGACTACCTGGCAGACTTTTTGTGTATTCCATTAATTCCAGTTGTTCGGTTGTAAAACGAAGTGAATGTTTCCTGATATATTCATTAATGGGATCTTCTGATCCTTGAATTTTGCCTCTCAAACTCATGTTACGATTGATTGTTATTACAATGTTTTTCCAGCAAAAATCGATGCAATGTGTGTGTCCACGTCGTGTTGATACAAGACTGGTAGCTGTTCCCTTTCTGACACTGTTGCTATTCTATTCTTTTTTTATATATTTTGAGACAACACATACTGCGCCCTTTTATTATATTATGTAAGCAGAACAGAAAAAAACAATACTACAAATAAAAGATAGCGTTATTTTGATATAGACTCATTCGGCAGACTGCTCACAATTGAAATTGTTTTACTCGTGCATTGAATAGCAGATTTTTTTTCTTATATATTTATATATATATATGCAATGAAAGACCAAAGTGTACTCTATGCTTCAATCATAAGTTGATCCATTCGAAGTCATTCAGCATGAATAACTTCATTGTTCTATAGATAAAGAATTTTTTCTAATACAATAATAACAAAGATGAATGTAGATGCGGCGGTATGCAAATGGATCAAAATGAATCTGACCATATGGTTTAACCCTTTACCCCCACCACTAATCCAGCAGAGCTGATGTTGAGTCGCCTATAGGAATACATCATATGAGTTCTCAATATGAACTTTTTATGGTTAAATTCGAGCAAAGTCATTTCACTGTGCAGATACAAAATGGGTCAAAAATGACCCATTTGGTGTTGAATGACATCAAAATTGGACTTCTTCATAAGCTGACGTTTCGACTCTTTTTTGTAATTGCATGCTTACTTATCTACATAAAGCTATCAGTCTTTCACAATTATGAGTTGTTTGCAAGAAAAAAAACATTTTTCAAAAGATTATGTGATAAGTTTATTTCATTCCAGTCAAACTTAACAACAATAAAATAGCAAAGATATTAATGTTAGTGTGTCAGATATATCCGTTTATTTTTACAATGATAGCATTTAGAACAATTACTTATTGCACTCAGTCATCAACAGAGAAGTCACTTGCATTACTTCACTGGAATCATAATCGGTACTTAAATTATATGAAACATTTGAATCCGATGAAGTTGTTGAATTACTATTTTGAGGCATTTTTTGAAAAAAGGTAAGCCAATATAAGTGAATAAGATAGAAAATCGCAAGATAAGGAAACGACAACTGAAAGAAATAGTAGATGAGGTATGTATGTTAAATACATGAGCGACACTAATGAATAAAAGTGTTCTTTATAGAAGAGACAAACTGAATTTATGCAAGCAATAGGGTGAGAAAAGAGGTCAAAGAAAGAACTCAAAAAATACTCTTTTTTTTGTTTCGTTGTGTACCAAGAATTTTCTAAGATGAATAAAAACAGAGAACAGAGAAACTAATTTTCTTTTTTTATTTGATCTTGCAGTGCCACAAAATTGCATGCATTATCAATTAAAATAGGGGAATAGGTGAAAATGATAAATGCCGAAGAAAAAAAAGACAATAATAGACGAAAGAGTTAATGGACGACAGAGTATTAAAATAGCAAGAAACATCAACATAATGACAGTTTTGAATATCATTATCTGTCGGTCATTATTAAGAAAGGACTGTCGCTCAATTTTATGCAACACTTTGCCAGTCTTATCAAAGTGTATCAACATAATGTAAAAGACGGTCGATATGTATGCACTCTGTCATTTGCCAAATGATAATACTATAAGACCGTCGTAATTATAGTAAGAGAGACAGAAACGGTTTTGTTGGTTTAGCAAAGAAAGAAAGTCGGAAAAAACTAAAGATCTTTATCTTTTTTTCCAATGGAAAGCTATTGAAAAACCATAGTGACTTGCTGTTTGATTAAGCATTAGTCATGATAAATGCTTTTAACATGAGCCTATTGTTAATAATGAGTTTATATCAAAAACAAAATATCTGGAACAAAATGCATTTTTAATGCCATTTAACACCAATGGGTCATTTTTGACCCAAGTTGTTCCAAAGGATGGTCTTCCAACGTTTTGATTCAATAGTTGCTGAAATGGTTCTAGATAAATAGTTGATGCCGTAGGTTATATATATCAAACGTTCAAAAAAATAAATGATCAATCTGTGCTAATAAAAAAACAAAAAAACGAAAAGAAAATGAATTTTTCGATTTTTTTGAAAAATCATGATTTTCCAACACAAATATACTATCAATAAACAATGAGAAAAAGTTTAATTCTTTAGTACTTTATAGTATACTGAGTGTTATACACAATGTTAAAGAACCGTCTTGATTCAATGCTTTATTGTTCCAAACAGATAGGTTTTCTAAATGGGTCAAAAATGATCCGTTGGGGGGTCAAGGGTTAAGATCTTTTCCAAGTAAATCGATCTGACAATAGGATAAGATCGAATTCTAGTATCATTAATTCATTAGAAAATGATTATTACAAAATCATCGTATCCGAATTTGGATATACCCTCGTCACTACGTTTATCCTAAGTATCTAATTTCTTAAGAATGACATTGTGTCACTGTTGCATTTGATGATTTAACCTTACGTCCTTTCTGATCGTTCAGATAAGATCATCGAAGACAGAAGTGTTCGATGAGTTTCCTCCAATCTGTTTTCACATCTCTTGAATCCAAATGTAACCGATCATGAATTATTTGACCGTTTCTATAAAAATTTGCTCGACATTTATCGAAACACATTTTCATTCGATGATGCCTTTTTTCTTTATCAGAATCACACTAATTGTTCTAAAGTTTGACGAAAAAACATGAAAATTAATGTGAAATTCATATCAACGAGAACATATCAAGAGAGATTGAAAAATCGACTTTTTTTGCGCCAGACGGATCGAGCTGAAATTTTAGGATATGAATTATGACTAATAATTACACATCTTGTGAAAGTTTCATCTTCATACATAT